ATTTGTCTATTTGTTTTCCTGAGAAACTATCTTGTAGATAACAATATGTAAAACAATAACCATTGATAATTTCCTACCACTTTGTCTGTAATTTGGTAAGCCCCCCCCATTATTATGTTATCCTTCTTTTACTCTTTAAAATAAAAAAAAAAAATTAAAAAAAAAAATGCCAGGGATGGTAGCTGAGTCTCTTGTTACCACAGGTTGAGAATAAACAGACTTTGCTTGTCTTTAGGAGGTTGGTCTTCACTTATTTCCACAGATAGTTGACTTAATTTAGAAAAAAAAAAAAAAAAAAAAAAAAAGGTAAATAAACCCAGTTACTCAAATCCACCTTTGCTCCAACTCCTTCACATGGAGCAGGAAAAGCAAACCTCCGTTCTATTTGGGTGGTCTTACTTATTTTCCTAGAATAAAAGGCCACAGCTACCCTTTTACCATTTAGCTGAGAGGGAGCTAGCCGGAAGGCTCATGGGCAGATTGCGGTGACGCTAAGTTTCAGGTTTCTTTAAACCTGAAACCGGGGTGGATCGCCTTATTTCAAGCCAGTCTCCTCACTGATGACCTTTGGTTCATCTTTTTTGAGTTCACTTTCAAAAAGACGTTGCCGGGCAGGGGATATAGCTCAGCGGCGCAGCGCCTGGCGTGGGAAACACAAGGTCCTAAGTTCAATTTCCGGTACGGAAAAAAAAAAAAAAAGACGTTTGCACTGTAAGAGCCACTTCTAGGCTGATGAAACATCTTATCTCAGCAGATTCCAGTTTGACAAAAACAAAAATGCACTTCCTTGCAAGCCGGCAGTGGCAATCAGAGGAAAAAAGGAAGAGAGAGTTGGGGAGGAGAATTCAAAGGAGTTCTGAAACCCAAGATCTACAGCTTGGCTAATGACACCAAAGGAGGGCTCTTCTGCCTTGAAGGAAGTGGCCGCTTTAGGTTTCCAAATTTAAAAAAAAAAAAAAAAAAGCCGGAAGTGTTGCTATAGCAACAAGGTTAGCAATTATAAATTAAGAGGCATAGTGTGCAGATCACTAGGAAACTGAGAGTTGTGGAGCCCTAGAACAAACCCAGGCCTCTTACTGTAGGGACGCGTTTGCACGCTAACTAAACACAAAAACCAAGTAAGAGGGGAAAAGCTCGAGTTCTTGCGTTTTGCCAGAGCTGACAAAAGGGGAGAAAAGGACCTTTTGCTGAAATGAAATATGAACAAGATAAATTTGGTTATCAGACACTAGCCTAAGATTAGGTTTAGGATATACACTTTCAGGAGTGGCTAGGAATTAATTTCACTTTAGATATCCTTACTCTGTTTGTTTAATTGAAGCATACATCTTGCTGCTTTCATTGAGTTAATACATTGTCCTGGGAATGAGAATCCGCATACAGAGGTAAACTTGGATAGGCCGATCCAGAGATGTCACCTTGACTGTCTGGAGCTGCTCAATGCTCAAATGATATGACTGACACTTTACCCTCTCCAGTATCCCAGTGAATTAGAGGTCAGCAATAACAGTTAAGGTAAACTCCCAGCAATCCTCACGTATGCACAATGTAGCGCGAACCTTCTATTAATTGTACAAAAGATGAGCTTCAGAGTCTGGACTTTGACGTTAACAAGCCTCTCCTTCATGTCTAAGATTAGGTGGCGAAAAGCTTGGGTTTTCCCATGTGGCAGAACTGAGCCTAATCTACTCTTTGACTGTGTAAACTATGGACAAGTTACTTAGCTTCTCTATGCAGCAGATTTTTCTTTGGAGAAATGGAGATAAAAATAATCATGGTAACCCATTTCACAGACTGTCAAGAAGACAGCGCGTACACATGGTTAGTGCATAGAAAGTGTTCAAAAATAGTAACCATCCATTGTCCCCCAGCCCCACCCCCAGTACTGGGGATTGAACCCAGGGCCTTCTCACTGAGCTACATTCTCAGGCCCTTTTATTTTTTATTTTAAGGCAGATTCTTGCTATGTCGATAAGCTGCCCAGGTTGGACTCAATCTTGTGATCTTTCTGCCTCAGCAGAAAAGTACCAGGGGTTACAGTTGTGTGCCACCACTCTGGGCTCCGTTGTCTTTTTTTGCCTTTTATCCATCAGTGGGAAATGATGATGACTCTTATTATGAAATTAACTTCCATTAGTGAAACACCGGGGGAAATGATTTAATTCTCTAATAATAGATGAGTGAGTGGTTCATAAAAGTGACAAAGGCCTTGACCAGCCTAGGAACAAGAGGCAGGATGTTCGGGGGCAAGGAGTAGGATGAGCTTACCATCTGGCTCTGGGTAACAAGCAGGCTGAATGCCAAGAGCAGCAAGCTGGGTCTTCAAACCCCACGTGATCTCAGCAAAGAGCTACAGAAGAGTTAGCTATCGTCTTTTATTTACTCAAATACATGCGCAGGTAAATTCAGCAGTTTAAGCCCCAGTTAGACTCAGTTTGCTGCATCCGTTCCCACCATCCTCTAGGAATCCTCTGAGAGCAGGCTCTTTGCTGGAACTGTCACCATCACGGTTCAATTAGAAAGTTTTGTTGCTAACTCAGTAAGACACCCTTCAGAATCCAGACTTCTCCTTCTGTTTGGGGAGGAGAAACACATTCAATAATAGCAACAATACCTGGCCTCAAATCAGGCCTCCAGAAAGCTGAATTAGTGGAGCATAGGAAAAAAACTGAAGAGGAAGGAGAAGGTATTAGTGAAGGTACAACTGAGGGCAACCATTCAAGTACTCCCACCTCAAAGGAAGGAATCAAAGATTTAAGAGGACCCAGAAGGATAGGTCCATAGTGTCCACTCATGCTGAATGAGATGAAAAATCTTCTGCCATGGATAATTAATCAGAAATCTGCTCAATGTTTGGGTCCAAGGAATCGGAGAACTGGCAGACTCTACAGTCTTTGAGGATGAAAAAGTAGGTTTCTTTGAACTTCTTTATTTTGCAAGCATAGACAATAGGGTTCATCATGGAATTAGCATGGGACAAGAGGATGCCCAGGAACATCACGTCATCTGATATGCTGACTTTAAAGTAGAGAGCACAGTTGATGATGGACAAAGGCAGCCAGCACAGAGCAAACAAGAAGAGAACCAGGAAGAGGGACTTAGCTGTCTTGAACTCCCGTCCATAAAACGCACCCGTCTCTTTGGAGGCAGAAACGTTCTGACTAAGTTTGTTCCGGATGACATAGAAGATGTTCAGGTAGATGGCACACATGACAACCAAGGGGATGAAGATCCAGGTGAAAAAGCTGAAGAAGACCATGTACTCCATACTCATGGTAGGAAGGAAGGAACATGGACACATGGTGACATTTTGGAGTTCCTTTGAGGTCAGTTTCCCATTCCAGCCAAACATAGGGGTCAGTCCCACCAGTAAGGACACCAGCCAGCAGAGGCCCAAGGCCAGCCATATTCGTCTTTGAGTAGTGACCCTCTTGTATCTGTTTGAATGGAAAAGAGCCAGTGAGTTCACAGCAGGATTGTGAAATGTCAGGCGAGGGAAATGATGGGAGGGGGAGATAAAGCACAGACTCTCAGTTCTTTAGTCTTTGTTAAGAGAGTGAAAAACCGGATAGTCTATGGTGACTCTGGTTGAAGGTGAGACGAGCTGACAAATATTAGAGAAAAATCCAGAAACTTCCCTGGGGACTTTTGTAAAGAATAATAATCTAGAACAGATCAGGAATATTTTTTCAAGAGTTAGGTGCATTCATGCCCTGTTTCTGGGCCTATTTCCAGTCCAAGAATTTTTTTGATTCCTATGTTGTAAGATTTAACTAAGTCCCCTGCGATCACCAGGCTGATGGGAAATAATCTCCTACAATCACGCTTGTCTGCTGCGTTCTCCATTGTTTTATTTGGCTAGTGGGCAGATGCTAATAAATTTTACCACCCCTTTCCCACGCGTCTACCTGTGCCTACCCCTGTGTCTGTCTGTATGCGTGTGTCCATACTTGGTGTCTGATTTAAATGAATCAACTGATTTGCAAAAGCTGTACTGAACTGCTTCACAGCCCTTAAAAGGGTGATCCAGTGAAAGTCACCATTTCCTCTTAAAGCATGCCTCTGAACAACAACCCAAACAGACTGCAGGAAGGACACTCATATTGCTCATTACTCTTAGACTTGATTTCTTTTTTTGTCTTTTTGAGACAAGGTCTCACTATGCCGTTTAGGCTGGCCTTGAGCTCAATTTGTAGCCCAGGCTGGTCTCAAATTTGCACCGATCCTCCTGCCTCAGCCTCCCAAGTGCTGGGATTACAGGCATACACCACCACGCCTGGCTGTTAGATTTGATTTCAATTAAATGTCACAACTCAGATATGTTTGTGATAATAGCCACTTTATTAATGGCAATGGTGAAAATAACAGCTATTGGGCATCCACCATGTAAAAGGCATTTTTCTAAGAACTTTACATGTGTTAACTTATTTAATCTCATGAGAAAAGTACAGTTATTATCCCCCATTTTATAAGAAAAAAATGACACAGACAGGTGACATACAAACTAGAAGGGGTGCAACTAAAATTGAAAGGTGAGTATGCTTCCGAGCATCTTAACCACTACGATACAGATGAGGACCCGGGACAGAGGAAGTTAAATAGCTTGCCCGAGGTCAGGATGCACAATCAGGGATCTGAACCCAGATCTGTTTGCACCTAAAACTTGTCCACATCTCCTCAACGTGTACTTTCCGCAAGAGAAGAGGGACGAAACGTAAGACCAGTGCAGTTTAGGACACCTTGGGAACTTGATTCCTCCATTTCAGTCTACTCTCTTTCCATGGTCAGATGGGAGGTCAGCACTGCTTTGTACAAAGGAGAACTTTTTTGGGAAAAAAACTCTTGCATCTTATGAGAAGAAAAAGGAAATATACATCCTAAGAAGCTTTCTCAGCACTGGGGCAGGCACGAAGTAGGAAGCAAAATGAAAATAAAAGCCTACATGTGAAAGGGGACGTTGTCATCTGGGTATCTCCTGTTCTTATCTTTCTGCTCCTTGTGAAATAAGATGCAGATCTTATCTAAGAGGTTTCGATCATTTCTAAACCCAAGAGTATTTTGGTTTTTTGTTTTTTACTCACAGTGCAGGAAGCTTTCATCATCTTTAGCCATACTGTACTAAGGGACTGACCATACGCACACGGTCAGTGGAGGATACAGTGGACCTCTGTCTTTCTCTCTCATTCCCAAGTCTCAGCTCACCATTCTAAGCCCCTCGTAGATCATATACTGAAAAAGCATTTATTGTCCTCTTTGCAACTTCAGGGCCCTATTTGGATTTGCTTCCACTGAAAAAGTCTGAGCTGGGAACTTTGTTGGGTGTGGGGAAAAGTTTCCTAATTTCCTAGACTCCTCTGTCCCTGCTGCACCCCCGCCCTCTTCAGTCGGTTACCTGATAGTGAGCTTGACCCGCAGGTATCTGTCCACAGCAATGGCCAGCAAGGACATGATGGAGGCATGGGTGAAGATTAGCAGCACACAGCACATGAAAAGGCAGCTATAGAAGTGCATTGAGATGTTCAGGCTGGTGACAATGGCCAAAGGTATGACCAGTAGCCCAACTGCAATGTCAGCCAGGGCCAGGGAGACAATGAAGTAGAAGGTGGTGGTCCGCAGACTGGGGTTTAACTTGATCACCCAGATGACCAGCACGTTGCCCACCACAGCAAAGAGTCCGATGAAAGCCTCCATGGTGAAATAGGTCATTTTAACCCACAATGGGGTATCGGTGCTGTTGAATGTCATGCTGTGCCGGAGAGCCTCCCAGGTGACAAGTTAGCCAGCAGGACTCGTAGGGCCCACTGGTCCTAGCTCTTGCCAGACGTTTTCCCAGAGGTCCAGGTATAGCAATAATCTGAAACTCCCAATTCATTCATCCCGTCTCTTCTCTGCTGGGGTGATCTCTCGGAGACCCCTCTCCTTAGGAAGGGCCCATCCCAGGCAATCACTTCTAGTCCATTTGTGGGCCACACACCCCTGGCCCCCAGAAACAGGGAGGACAGTTCAGTGTGGGCTGAGTCTGAAAGTGCCGCTGCTCTTAGCTCCCCAGGCAGACACACTTGAGGCCTCCCCCTTCCCCTACCCCCAGAGCGCTCGATGCACTCCATCAAGATAAGCAACACTCGTTAGGGTTTTACAGGAAGTGAGATAGGCCAAGAGGAAGTGAAGAGCCAGGAACTCAGAGCAAAAAGATGGAAAGAACAGAGGAGGGAGGCGTGAAAGGCATCGAGAAGGTTCAGGATGAGATCAGGTATCAGAATGAATTCATTCAGTGACCATATGAGGGTGGAGGGTTGGGTGCGAAGACAGCTACAAGCAATGACTACGCAATATTTCTGCTGACATCAGGTGCAGTGGCACACATCTGTATCCCAGCACTTGGGAGGTTAAAGCAGGAAGATGGCCAGGAGCTTGAAGCCAGCCTGGACTACATAATAAGTTTAAGGCCAGCCTAGATTACACAGTGAGACCTTGTTTAAAAAAAAACACAAAATAGAGTAAAATAAACAAATCCCTGCTTTCTGCTTGCTTAGCCAAAAGACCCCATGATATGAAGACAAACAGAAGAAGCGGAAGCACAAGCATTAGGCTTTGGTAGCAGCCCCTAACCTTAGCCAGAACTTATTCCTTCTCATAATAGCAAGTGCTTAGAATTCGGCTGCAGGAATAGCGTCCTTACTGAACAGCGCCGGTAACCAGCCTTTGTGTCAGAGATCCTCTGTCAAAGGGACAAGCAAAGATTCCTTGCTTGGAGAACAAAACTCAGCACCACCCAGAGCCTGCATCTCTCCTTCTCAGCCCCAGCTCCCAGCAAAGTCTCAGGCCCTCACTCTGGCAACACTTCTGTGTCAAAGCTATTTGAGGAAGCAACAACACGACGATCAGTCATGCAGAAAGGAGAAGAAAGACAAGGTGCACTCATAACTGTATGGCATACCCCACGCCTCTTCTCCCCAAGCCCAGCCCTGCCTCACAAGACCATGTGTAAGGGTTCTGACCCCTTATCAAAGCTGCTTGCCTAGTCACCAACTTCTGGAAGACAAACACTTGAATGCAATTGTTATTTGGTTCAGGTGTTTCTTGGTGCTGCCCACAGGAGTAATTTTAACCAGGGCACGTTAGAGGCAGCAAGAAGGAACAGATGAACATAAGCCTACAACGGGGACGGAAGGATTTATAACTTTTACCTTAAATATCTATGCATGCACAGCCAAAAATAAAATTCAGCGATAAGAGCAGTGTTGTTCGGGCGCTGTCTAGCCAACACTTCAGTGGGACCTTGAGAGAGATGCCCGGGCACATGGGGCTGTCAGGTCGTCTTAGTTCCGCTTCCACACCACCCGCTGATCCCCCGCTGTTTCCCAAGTTGCCCTCAGTCTGACCAGTCTCGCACTCACATGTCCCACACATGTCACTTCTCCCCAGGCAAACCCCTCAGACATAAGGGGCAGTATCAGCCAGGTGTGGTGGTGCACACCTGTGATCTCAGCCCTCTGGCAGGCTGAGGCAGGAATATCCCAGTTCAAGCCCAGCTCAGACAATTTAGCAACTTAGTGAGAAAAGTCTCAAAAATTACAAAATAACATTTAAAGGAGGCTAGTGTAGTTCAGCGTGAAGGCCTTGGGTTCAATCTCCAGCACAGGAAAAGGTGGCGGTAGAGGGAGGCAACCCTCTCTAACTGTATTTCCATCAACCTAAGTGTCTCTCTGGTGCCTGCTACGCACACTGGGACTTGAAAAGCTCTGTCTGCCTCTTCTGTGGCCTCTCACACATTTCTTGAACAACTGCTTTCTTCAACTCTGCTTCAGAGGAAGAAGCGACTAAAAGGAATTTCTACCAAACTGCATGAAAAAAGCCTTACTTATCATTTAGCTATCTGAAGCATACTTAATCACTGTAGAAATTCTCTATTCTCCTCCCAAACACTGACTAGCACCGAACAGCTTCATGTGAGACGAAGGCCTTCCCTAGTTGGGAGGAACCATGCTGCCTGGATGCTGTACTCATACAATTAAAACGCAGCCTCCTGGAGGAGCCTGGCATTCCCAAACCTAGCTTGCAGCTCAACCTCGGGGGGCCAGTAAGGATGAAGCGGCCTGGTGGCAGGGCGGAAGTGTCAGTCAGGCAACAAGCAGCACTTACATTGACAAGGGAAAAGATGGCCTCCCATGTGTAGTCATGACCCAGAAGCTGAGGGGAGGGAAAGACTGGCAGAAGTAGCAGGACCAGTGCCTAAGTGGGGGGGGCAGCCCACCAGAAACGGACTGGTCTCATTAGAAACTTACTTGATAGGCAGTTTGTACTTTCAGATTTTTTCCTGGTGGTTCTCTGTCAGTACTCAGGTGAGTTCTCTGGGAACCAGCCACCTTGGCTGAGTTACAGAAACCAAGTGTAGAGCTCATTGTTCAACACTGCATCATACCATTCCCCTGAGAGAATAACCCACTGTAGAGAGGAGGAGCAGGGGCTACACTAGGGCCACCAACAGAGCCACCTCTCCCCACCTGGGAGTCATAGTTTCAGAAGTCCTTGCATGTATCTGGGGACTTTCTTTTCTATGAACAAGGGAAGCTTTTCCTCAGGGTTTTCTGAAAAGACAGAGCCCAGGACTGCTTCAAAGGTGGTTTGAGAGATAAAGGAAAGAGTTCCATAGTCACTTCTCATTTGGGTCTACTGAGGCAGGAGATTAGGGCATGGCCAGCTGGCTGGGCAAGTGGGCATGACTTATCAGTCATAGAAATCCAGGACAGGCGCCGAAAAACAGTTCCCAAAGCTTTGCACCTGGGACTAACTAGAGAATGCTATGTTCAATTCTCATGAAAAGTCAAGCAGGCTTTTTATAGGATGTCCTGAATCTGGCACCTGGCCTGAGAGTGGAAGATACAAAAGATGGTGCCATTAAGCTCCTGTCCACTGTACTCTCTTTTACAGTGGTCCACTCTCACCCTGTAGACAGTACTGCCTTTCCTACTTTTAATTGGCTCACATTTGCTCTTTGGAGCATGTTTCTTCCCTACTTTTAATACATGTAAACCATGGCTACATTTTGAACTTGTTTTTTTTCCAATTCTTTGTTCAGGTCAAAAATCTAGAAAGAATCTCTGGGAGGAATTCCCAGAACCCCAGAACCTGGTAACACTATGAGTGCACCCTGAATGTCCCTCTTTATTTTAGATTGAAAACCAAAAGCTCGTCTGGTGAACAAAAAGAAAGAGACCCAGTCCAAAGGTCACCCACCCTCTTTCCCTGCTCTGCCACCTGCACCCACAGCCCACAGCCACCCTTGGTTAACTTGCTTCCTTAGACAACCTGAGATCACCAGAATGTTCTTCAGGAAACTCCAAGATGGCCCTTTCCTGCTTAAAAACCACTTGCTCTCCACCTCAGGCTTAAGACCAGGCTCGTGGGAATGGCTTTCACCAGGAACCCCTAGGTGATAAGGTCTCTGCAGGCTCCTACCCTTGCTTGTTCTGTAGAAACCAGCTCCACCATGCCAAACAACGCATGGGGCAGAGTCATTCTCTTTCACTTCCTCTGCCCTGTGCACACTGCCTCGTATCCTGGCTGGAACTCTCTTCCCCAGTCCACCTAGAAAACAAACACGTTCCTTCCTCGACTGTTCGCAAACAGGACCTTGAGGAAAACTTGCCAGACTTGCCTCTCCTCTGGGTCTCCATTGTGCCGATTATGTGACTCCTCCCTCGTTGGCCTACAAGTTCCTGGGGAGCAGAGACCATCATTTCATTTCTGCATCTCTATCCCTCTCACAACGCCTGACAAGAGACTCGGATACTTTTCACAAATGAGTGAATAGGAAAGCACCTCTGAGGCAGGTGGCGTGACTCTGGCACTGTATATTAAGACAACAGTAAATCAACTAGAACTTGCTAAGTACTCTGCATGATATCAGCTACTGTGTGCAACATTTTTTATTCATGGTTTTTTTCATCCAACATTCTCAAATTGAAAAGATTTTGGTGCTGAGCAAGCTGAGATTCAAAAGAGTTAAGTAACTCATCCAAGGTTACACAGCTGGGAATTGACAGAGCTGGCATTCCTGGCTTCAGGCTTCTGAACGACGGCCTTCAGTAAGAGCATGAACACATGAACAGCCATACTAAGTCTTCACAAGGACAAGGGGTCCCTGAGTTTGATGTTGTCAACTGACCGATATCAATAGGGGATCAGTATTCTCTGACCTGGAAAAGAATATGACCAGCAGGATTACAGGAACAGACCACATGCACAAACCCCACTGCTCAGAGTTAGAAAGAGACGGCAGGGTCAGACGATTGCATGAACAGGCTGCTGTGGGGCTGGGCTTCCTGGGGAGCTCTGGGCCAGAAAGAAAACCAGATTTATGGAAATAAATTTTTTATAAAACCAGATTTATGGAAATAAATTTTTAAATCGTGAAATAAATTATAAATGCACTGTGGTTCAAGAGTTTTTCCCATCTAAAAGGAAGGCCGTGGCTGTTTTCAGTTCTACCAAAGGAACCGAAACTCACCCTAGCAAGCCCAGGTGAGAGACAGTGGGGCCTGGCCCGGTGCTGAGGTCGCTGTGAAGAGGGTCTGGAGGCCTCCTCAGCCTGAAGCACAGGAAAAGGGACTGGAATGCTGAGGACGGGCCTTGCCGGTCCCAAACCCTAGCCTAGAACTACTTGGGCCTGGTGCAGCTGGGCCAGGCCAACCGCAGACAACATCCTTCCCTTCAGCGCTGTGCTTGACACCCTGAGAGGCTAGTCAGAGACAGCTCATTGGATATTTTGCAACTTCTCAGAAAAAGCTAGAAAACGTCAAATGCAATCTCCAGTAACAGCAAGGTGCAGTGACAGCAGGAGTCCAGGGAAAGGACCTCCAGAGGCCCGAACTGGCCCAGGCAGCCATTGAGACAGAGTGTCAGGCAGGCAGAGGATGGCGGCTACCGCCTGGGGCTCTCTCTCTGATTTGATGGCTGCCTGGAGACACACAAAATCAGTTTGCTCACTTCCTCCTGGCCCCATCCCCACTTCCCCAAATCTTTATATTTTTAAAGAGCTTTATGTTTGTTGGCCAACAGCAGAGGCTCAGAAAAGACCAGTGTTCAGGATCAGTCCTGAAGGAGGCTGCCTCTTGCAGGCCCTCCCTTGCCAACTTCCTGTCTCTGCCTGTCAGGCGGGAGGAAGAGGTTAGAAGCCCTCCAGACAGCTTCCTCCAGTGCTGGTCTGGAGCCAGGGTCCCCAGGGCTTTCTTTTCCGGAGCCCAGACACTTGCACAACTTCTGCTGTGACTCACAAGGCCTCAAGTTTGAGTACATGGAAGCTGGGGTGGGGGTGGCGGTGGGGGTAGAGGTGGGAGGGCCAGGCCTGGGTGACCAGGTCAACCTTCCTTCACCGTGAGTTTCGGTACATCTGGCCCAAGACAGGGGAATTGTCCCAGGTGCTTGCGACCTACCCACCCTACCCACACACACTCCAGGGCCAAGCGGAGACCTAGAGGACGGTTCAGTTAATTCTCACGTTGTTCCAGACTCTGGACAACTGGCTAAGTCTTGCGAAGTAGCATCAGCTTCAAGGGTGAAAGGCTTATGCTTGTGTCCGCGTTAAGGCGTTATGCTTAGCAGTGGCCACCAGATGGCAGCACGTTTCCACTGCCTTTTGGGACCCAGGCTGCCTCTAAGAAAATGAGAGAGAAATGAGGAGAACTTGAATTTGGAACACTGCTTAGCCAGCGACCTCAGACGGTGCAGACAGTTAAACACGGGGAGAACTAAGGAAGAACAAAGAAGACAAGGATAGACAGCCAGGTGCTTAAATTCAATCCAATCCCATAGCAAATTCCTGGGCAGGGATGGTGGTGCGAGTCTGCAATCCCAGCTCCTTAGGAAGTTGACGCGGGAGAACAGAAAGTTCACTTGGGCAGTTACCAAGACTCTGTCAAACAAACAAAAAGGCTCTGAAGGTGAGGCAGGAGGATCGCTGCAATTTCAAGGCCAACCAGGGCTGCATAGTAAGTTCAAGGCCAGCCTGAACTACATGACCAGGGCCTATCCCACAAAGTAAAAATGAAAATGAAAAAAAAAAAAAAAAAAAAAAAAAATTCCTGGGCAGTGCCGAATCCGATCTTCTTGACTTAAAAATGTTGAAATGCAGATTCATCCTTCCACGAGTGTCCCAATAAAAGTTTTATTTTGCTTTGTAGCGTTGAAGCTCCTTACACACAAACTCCATCTCATTAAAATCAAGACAGCAGCCCCACACAGCAAGTATCAGTAACCACTTCCCACACAGGAGAAACTCGGGCATTGCTCAGGATCGTACAACGGTAAAAAGCGCCATTAAGGTGGGGAGCCCAGGCACTGCTCTCCCGGTTTAAGGTGAAGACAAAGAAGATGGTGAGGACAGATCTGCCTGTAGGAAATCTCACTGAGAGTTCTACCCGCTGCCACGTATTCATCAATAGTCCTTTCCTTGGTACCTGCTACCTCTGACCTGTCCTCCTCTTTTGATGGGCACGGAGCCCACTGGCCATTTTCCAGGCCTTTTCTGAAGCGTTTCCTGTCTTTTGGAGTCCACGATTTCTCTGAAGGTGCTTGGGTTTCTCTGTAATCCACCCTCCTCCTCCTCACAGCCTCAGGGCTCCAGCCATCCACGCTGAGCCTCTTCGGCTCTGCTCCAGCGTTACTCACAGTAGCTAAGCCTCAGCCCATGAATTTGTTCACACGTGCGGATCCTGACGTCATTCCCCAGATCCTTAACGCTGGCAGGTGTCAGAATAAATTCTGGCTAGAACAACCGCCAACCTAAATGTTTACAGCAGTGCCATATCCTGGCCTCCTTCCTTTTAAACTTATACCTAAAAATGTAACAGACTCCTTAAATGGAATGCAAAGCCTCGTCCATAGCAGAGGTCAGCAACCTTTCTGCTTAGGTGATATTTTCCCCTCTCCTTCCCTAATTATTATCCTAACACCCGCCATTGGCAGAATGCCAAAGAAAACGTGCTGGGTACCTTGCCAGGCATTTTACACATCTTATTTAGAATTCTCTACCAACCTTGGAGGAGTGTGTTTAGGTTCATTTCACACACGAGAAAACTAAGGCTTGATGAGACCGGGGGACTCGGTCTGAACCACACAGCCAGCTAATGGCTGAGCTGGGGCCTGAACCCAAGACTGTCTTGGCTTCAAGCCCTGACTCTTGTCAGCGACCGACACAAGAACACTCTAGTATCAATTGTACCAAACCCAGACTGCCATGTGGGCAGAAACTCTTCAGTGTCCTAATGAGAAGCACCAGACTTAAAGGCTGGGCCAGCCTTCGGGAGAAGCACATTTTGCATCAATCAAGCACACTTCAGCCCCTGTCAGTGCTCAGCTGAGATTGCTCTGCCCGGCCGCGGAGGGCAGCGCGCAAGTCCTCCCCTGCGCTCTCCACCCGCTCCCCCCGCATCTAGCCCAGGACAGACAACACTGGGAAACCATGTGACGTTAGTTCCTGCTGAAATGCCTTCCCAGAGAGCCTTAGTCCCTCTGCGTTTCGTTAAAGGTTAATACAGAAAACTGTCACAGGAAATATGTCTCAGCATTTCATCATAATCGGAGACACTGTCCATTACTATGCCCCTCACACAAAGTTTCACAAGATCAATTTCTGAGAAGTGTAGTGTTGGAAAAGAAATTGTTTTTCTTAATAAACTAGCTTGCTTTGTTCCCCTGGTTAGTGGGACAGTTTTTGCATGGGCAGCTGGGCAGCTAAGCGAGGTTTTGCTTAGGTTTTCTAGGAAATTTACATGTTTTTGTCTCCTTCCTTGGCTTCTGTTGTTCTATTGATTTTGTCATGCCCTGTTTTCCTTATTTTGTAGTTTTTTTTATTTTTTGTTTTTATTTCTTGTGGCACTATGAATTGAAGTCCTGGCCTTCCCGCTGAGCTGCATCTCCAGCCCTTTTTTATTTTTTATTTTGAGACAGGGGCTCATTAAGTTGCCCAGGCTGGGCTCTAACTTATGATACTCCTGCCTCAGCCTCCTAGAGTTCTGGGATTACACATATGATACTCCTGCCTCAGCCTCCTAGAGTTCTGGGATTACACATAGGCTCACTATGCCCTGTTCATTTGAGTAGCTCCAGATCCTTTTTAAAAATATGCAAGGTACAAATAATAAATACTTAGAACTAACGTCAAAAGAAGCACCACTGTTTATTTTAGGCTCATGTTGCCTGATTGATTAGTCTGTCATGAAATGATTTTTGTCGGTTCCCCCATGACTGGGAGGTGAGGACTTCCTTCTCCCACAAGTGGTACAGAAACACATTTTAGATTACCAGTTTGGGCAAAAGAAAAAAATGACGAGACTGAAACCCCCTCCCCCACCGCTCTTTGGGGGCAAGTTCTCAACCCAGCACCTCAGGTATCTGTGTTCAGCAATAGCTAGGAAACATCCCCTTAGGAATGGTCAGTATCTTGGAGTCATTTATTTACACGCCTGCTTCTGCCACTTGACAATAAACTCCCTGGATAAAAAATTGGACCTAACTCATCTTTGTGTCTCCTTCCCACTGTCCTTATCCCAAGAGCACCAAAATTCTAAAGTAGTACCTGGCACCTAGGAGGACAGCAATAAGCTCTAGTTGAACATATATCAGGTATTACTGTCAAGGCTTTCTCCTCTCGGCCTGCAAGAGTACTGACCATATCTCTCTATGTTCAGTGAGGACTCAGGAGAGATATAGAAAGACCTCTTCCTTAACAACAAAAAGGTTTTGTGTCTTTTAATTTCAATATCAAACCAATACAGATAGAAAACATCCCATGAGAAGCCAGGTGTGGGCCCATAATCCCAGTGTGCTGGAGGCTGAGGCAGGAGGATCACAAGTTCAAGCCAAGCCTGGGCAACTTACTGACTTAGCAATACGTGTCTTATTTGGGTGTAGCTGAAGGACTCTCAGAGACAGCATCTGACATTTACATACCAGTTTGTGATTCCGCATTTTACTTAGCCTACCCATTTCATTGTCTCATCTCTGTTACTTAAAATGATGCCCCCTTACACATGAGGCCACACATGAATTTGTCATCTCACCCTATTTATTATTATTATTATTATTTGCAGTGATGGACATAAAACCTACAGCCTTGCACTGAATGCAAAGCTAGCCCTCTATCACTGAGCTACATTCCAGATTACTGTTTATTTCTTGTGTTATACCTTTCACAATCAGAGCTTCATTCTTTCTTTGTTGTGTTCTCTTGCTTGTCTTTTGATTGACTGATTGATTGATTGGACTGATCAATTAACTTTTTGAGACAGTCTTATTTTGGAGTCCAAGCTGGCCTTGAAATGTCTGTGTAGCCGAGGCAGGCTGGCACCATCCTCCTGTCCAAGTTCCCCAGGTGCCGGGATTACAGGTGTGTGCCACCACACCCGGCCCCTTGCCTGTTTTATTTATGCTCTGTCTATAGGACCCAGAACCTCCTCAGCCTTAGTTGACCACTAAGCCTGGCACATGGACCCTGTTCTCTCACCACTGACCTTGCCCCTGATCAGCGGTAGGGTGCAGTGTTCAGGACACGATGGATTTGAGGTGGGATGGGGTGCCCGAGGAGCCTGATGCCACAGTGGCTAGTTTAAGGTCAGAACCTGAACAGCAAGCCAAATTTCTTGGCTAGCCAGTCCCCTCACTGGCTCTTTTGTCTCTCCGAGTTCCCAGCTGAGCGTCCTCCTCCACCCCCACCCCGCTGCAAGCTCACAGTTTGCTCTTCCTTCTGCAGCAGTGCTTGCGCCTCGGCCAGCTGCCCTGTCAACCCACGCTGACCGGCCAGTACTAGGTGCTGATTGTTACAAGACTACACCAGCAACGCTGTTCCAGACCACGGCACTGCCAAGGGACGCTTGGAGCCATCGGATCATCCCGTGCAGCGGCACACCTGTGCCCCCTCCTCTGGGTGCCAGACCCGTCCCACCGGGCTCTCACCCCGACTTGCTGCAGAAAGGAGACCACTGTCAGGTGCCAGCGTGTGTCTCAGAACCCTCTGCATCTTTCTTGTTTTAAACTGTTTCCAAAGGGGTGACCTTCTGGCACCTTAGGCAATGAAAAAGAATGTGGGGCCGCATGTCACCGGCAGGGCCTCTCCAGCGCTCAGCCAGTTCTTTATTTACGAGGTGCTTGGCAGATGTGAATGCAGGAAAATCCTTCTGCACATTCCAAAGGGGCTGTGGGGAGGCCGTGACATCTTCCTCTCCTCCGTCTACACTTGCCACGAGGCAAGTGACCTGACAGCATCACGAGGCCTGCTGGGCGGGCTCCCCAACAGTCCCCACACTCGGCTCCTTTATGAGCCTGGAAGAAAGGCAGCCTCAGGTCTGACATTCCAGGTTTCAGGCAACCAGAGTGCTAGGTCACTGCCCTAAGTGCTGTGAGGTACTGGCCCTTCAGATCAGCAAGTGAAGCTCTCTCTGAGCTGGGTCTCAAGAGCCAGATCATTCAGAACAGTAATTGGAGTTCTTCTGATGTGTCATTCATTCTGGAGGGGTTGGCAGATCTTTCAGCTCTAGTCACGCTATGAAGGGTTTACCTTCCGTGCAGGGCATGAAGGTAGCTGAAGGTAGCCAAGGGAGAATATTACGGCCAGCTCCTGCTGAAACACCTGCATGACAGGTCACGGGGCACAAGCGG